TATATTTCACAAGAAGGCTTTCCAGACTCTCTTGACAAAGGCAGATGCCTTTCTCAGTGGTGGCCTGCCTCTGGACATGGTGGCCAGCTCCCAGGGATCCATGTATTTAGGCTATTATTTCTCACCACTAAGGCTGCTGTAATCCTACAAGCTGGGATGATAGTGAGTTACATCTCATGTCTCTCTCTATGTCCCTATTAAAAGTAGAGTAGTCAGGCTGGAGAGCTGGCTCAGTGAGTAACGTGTTTGCCATACAAGCGTGAGAACCTGAGTCCCAGCACCAGCATCGGAAGCTGTTGTGACAGCATGCGTCTGTGTCCAAGCACTCATGAGGACACAGGTGGTCCCAGAGACTCACTGGCCAGACAGTTTAGGGGAATCATTGAGCTCCGGGTTCAGTGAGAGACCCTGTCTCAAAAACAAAACAAAAGGAAGAAAAATGAAACAAACAAAACAAAAACAAAAAACCAAAACTAAATGAAACAAAAACGAAGAAAAAACAATGACCCAGATGTGGTAGCACAGGCCTTTGATCCCAAGACTGGGGAGGCAAAGGCAGGAGGATCTCTGTGAGTTCGACAAAGCAAGTTCCATACCAGCTGAGGCTACTCTGGCTGTTACATGTGTTCACAGGCACACATACACGTGCACACGTGTTAAAAAAGTGTTTTGTTCTGTTTTGTTTTTTGATAAAAAAAAAAATCTTTTAAAAAGAAAGAAAGAACAAGACTGAGAGGCAAGTCTATTCAACTCTCTTCCCGTGTTGCTACATAAACTTCAGATCTTCTGACGTGGAAACAAACCGAAGAACAGCCTAACAGATGGCTTCATGCAGGTTTCTAGCAGCCTCAAGGCTCGGAGACTTGCATTAGACCTGCCCAGCCACTGAGTGACTGTCCTCGCGGTAGGGCTTGCAACAAGCCCCTAAGCCTTTGTTAAGGGGTAAAAACAAAACAAAACATACAACAGAGGCTGTGGGATAATCCTTCTGTACACTGTATGCATTATTCTCATTGGTTAATAATAAAGCTGCTGGGCTTACAGCAAGGCAGGATAAAGTTAGGCAGGACAATCAAACTGAGGACTGGGATGAACAAGGGTGGAATCGGGAAGAGACGACAGCGAGCCGCCCAAGAAGCAAGATGCTAGAGAACCGGTACAGCCACGGCCACGTGGCAACACTTAGATTACTAGAAATGTGTTAATTTAAATGTAAGAGCTAGTTAGTAATAACCCCGAGCTATTGGCCGCACATTTTGTAATTAATATATAAGCCTCTGTGTATTTATTTGGGATCGGACTGTCAGGACAAAAAGCGCCATTTACAAACAGACACTGTAGTTTAAAAGTAAAATCATCACCTTTATTTCAAGCTTATAAATAAACGGGGGGGCTGTGGGGAGGCTGGGGGTGAGGGATTGGAGCACACGGCTCTATGTTTTGCAACAGATGCCACAGTATTGACTTTTATTACAGCATCCACAACAGAAAACGCAGATTGGGAAGTTGGTGTCTCGCTTCTTTCGATTTGGGAGCAGGAACTGTGTGGAAGAGAAGAGAGGTGAGCTGCCTCGCTTGGGCATGGGGAAGCCTAGGGACCAGGGAGGGAGTCCCAGTTGCTCTTACCGACATGTCGGCCCTGGCTTCTGTCCTGTGCCGAGGCTGTAGGGCTTCAGGCTGTTTCACCTGTGGAAGCAGAGAGGGTACTTGAGTACTGTGGGGTCTCCAGCATTCTCTGACGTGTCTTTGCCAGCTTGTGCCTTTCCCAGGAGCCTGTTTATATGGAATTCCTAGGAGAGACCTCACTGTCCTGTGTTTCCCATCATTCCTTGGATGTTCTGCTTCGTAAAGACATGCCACCTTCTTTGTTACTGTATTCTCTTTCTGGACACTACCCTCCCTACAGGTCTCCCCGTATCTTATCCCTTATAATCAGGTCACCACATAGCACAGTAACCTATCATCATCAGTTGGATTGTGGATTTTCCCTTTCTCAGCAACCCAAGGACCAATCATCGCCTGCCCAGCTGTCTACAAAACTTGGCAGTCAGATCTGCCACCGCCCTCTCCTTACTTCCAACCCTGATGCCACTTATCAGACCCTCCAGAGCCAAGGGTCCTGTGACTGCCTTTCACTGGGGTGTCCACTCTGCTGTCTCAGTTCCAAGGCACACATCTAGTATCTTCATTGTTGTTTGAGACAGGGTTTTCATAGCCCAGGTTGGCACTGAACTTGTTATGTAGCCAAGGACGACTGTGAACTCCTGATGCTCTCACCTCCATCTTCTGAGTGTCCATACCAAGCCTGGCTCAGTAGCACTCCCTTCCTCACAGATGTATGTGCGTGAGTGTCCTGCCTGCATAGATGCATGCGCCCACAGGCATGCCTAGTGCCCGTGTAGGCCAGAAGGCATCAGATGCCCTGCAACTAGAGTTAAGGATGGTTGTGAGCCACGATGTAGGTGCCAGGAACTGAACCCAGGTCCTCTGCACGAGCATCAAGCGCTCTAACTGCTGAGCTGTCTCTCCGGCCCCTTCTGTATCATTTTCTTATAAAATATTTTGCTTGGCTTCCTGCCTCTTGGTCCCCGCTCTGGTCCTTCCTCATGGTAGTCATTCCGCCCATCATCTTCTGTGCTATCCACAAACAAGTGTTTAGAAAACAGTCGTTTAAAGGCAGTTTAAGGCATGCCCTGACTGGGATGGGACAGCCAGAGGAATATCTTGTCTGGCTTCCAGCATGTTCCTCACGTTCCCTTTCCACAACACCTGCAGAGCTGAGGGTGGGAGTGCCTCAGCCTTCCACTCAGGACCACTCTTGTCCCCTCAGCGGCTGCCCTGAATGCTCAGTGTTGAGGAGCCCCTGCCTCCTGGGGATGGCATCGTAGCAGGCCTAGGGTGCTCACCAGCTGCTGGAGAAGGCTGCTGCTGGTCAGGCTGGCGATGAGGAGAAGCAGGAGACAGGCAGCCTGGATCTTGGTGCTCTGCGCCATCGTGACTTCTGTTCTGCTGCGCAGTCCAAGGATTTGCCTGGTGCCTAGGACCCAGTCTCCGTCCTTTTTATGGGACTGGTTGGAGGAGGGGACACCTGAACCCCCTCCCCTTTGCCCTGACTCATTTCCAAGAAGACAGTGGCGCCGAACAGGCGGGAGAGATAAGCGGGAACAGTGACAGGGGACAGACAGGGTTGTGTCACCCTCAGCCAGCAGAGGTGCATCGGGGGGTGGGGCAGCTAGGGCCATGGACACAAGCCTCCAGCCAGCCACCTGTGACGTCACCCTGTGGATCGAAGAAAAAAATCCCCTTTTTCCCCTAGACATTGCCTGTCTCCCTTATCTGTGTCTTCAGTATGTCTGTCACTTACTGGGCTCCCCAGAAAGAACTCAGCAATGGGGTACACATGTGCAGAATGCATCCAAGCATGAGTCGGGACAGTGGCCAAGGGACTGGACAGACAGATGCCCAAGCATAGTCTCCACCATGGTGTCCAATGTCCAGATCATACAATGTAGCTGTTGTGTTGAAGTTACCTTTCGCCTATGGTGGTGGCAGTCATTATTCATAGCCAGAGGCAGCACACTTCCCAGCCCAGCATATGAGCTAGTTCATCCTTTCACATGCCAGTGCACAAACTAATTCACCTTGTCTTTTAACCAGGACCAGTTCACTTTTGTGTTAATGGCTGATGCTACTTGGCCTCCAAGTGGTTGCCTGCTTCCTCCTGGGTTCATTAGTGTTTAGGCTTAAAGTTGCCTTCTCGTCACTGACCCGGGGGCCTGGCCTGATCTATCTGTCAAACTTCCATCTCCTGCAGCCGGGCGGTGGTGGCGCACGCCTTTAATCATAGCACTTGGGAGGCAGAGCTAGGCGGATCTCTGTGAGTTCGAGGCCAGCCTGGTCTACAGCGCGAGATCCAGGAAAGGCGCAAAGCTACACAGAGAAACCCTGTCTTGAAAAACCTAAACAACAACAACAAAAAAACCCTCTTCCATCTCCCTCTAAGCACAGGGACACAGTAGCATGCTAGACTTGGCTGGGCAGAGCAGACTGTGCCCATCACACAACTCCAGGTCCAGTGGAGTTATGCCAAGACCTTCTCAATTGCCACGCTGGGCGCATTTATACCACAGCACACACCAGGGCTTTTACAGTTGTGTTCTTGGGGCACTATTGAAGCCTGTGTGGTGCCCTCACTCCTATTACCTGGATCCTTCGGTGTGTACGGCCTGAGACGTCATTAAACTTTGACTGCAGAGACAGGCTAGTGGATACCATGCCTGACTCCCGAGGGATCAATCTGTGTAGACCCCCGGGATGCTCCTGACACTCTGCTGCTCACTAGGGCCCCCACCTGCTTCATGAGCTCTCAGAGAGCGTTAGGGAGTGGGAAGGTCAAAGTCAGGGTTCTCGGAAACCAGGGGCCATCAGGTGTCCTGAGGTTGTGGCAGGTCGAAAGTGCAGCAAGGTGTAACTGACAGGCAGCCCCAGATCCTGGGAAGGGGTGAACCAGTCTCTGGGGACACGATGGGATCCCCCGGCCAGGCATCACTGTGGCTGCTCAGAGCAGGTTTCATCATCAGCCAAGGCCAGGGGTCACAGCACAGGCGCCAGAGCCACGGTGTGAGGCGACAGACTGCCGGGCCAAGCCTGGCTTTCTGGCCATCTGCCCTCCCTTGGGGGTGGGGGGCTCAAGGCCAGGCCCCATCATTGGCTGGTGCAGAGGGGAGGCCTTCAGCCCCAGAGCCCAGGGATGCTCACCAGCCCTGTTTTCAAGAAGCTCTGACCTGGGAGATTCCAGCCTCCCCTCCAACACCAGGGGGCACGTCCTTGACCGATGTTCCCGCACCCCTAATCTGCACTCCAGGGCCTCAAGGGAGAAATTCAGTCCTTAATTCTCCCAGCCATTTTCACACAGCCACACTATAGCTGAAGCTTAGACCTCAGGAGGGCTCTGTGACTCCCACCCGTCCCCATGCCCAGCATGGACCGACACACAGACAGACAAGGCGGGGCCACACTGGCCAGTTTATTGCAGTTAAATACCTCTCTCTCTATTTTTTTGTCCATTTTTCCATAAAGAAAATTAAAACACACACCCACGCACACGCACGCACACACGCGCATACACACACACCCACACACCCAGAGGGGAGCAGGGATCCAGAAACAAGAGGGATGGGGGACGTGGCCTCCCTGCACAGGTCCAGGCCCCAGGGAAGGCGCCCCCAAAGCTCCCTCCTTCCCATAAGCACCCTGTCTCAATACCTCTAGAGACCAAGGAGGCAGCGGGCAGCGGGGCCTCTGTCCTCCTCCCTTGCTCCTCCTGGTGAGCCCACTACAAGTGATGGGCTGGTGAGGACCGAGAAGGGAGGCTGACGGACAGGTGGGCAGGTGGGCATCATTTCCGCATGGAGGAGGGTAGTGGGCAATGTATCCACAGAAATGCATTATGTCTCCTTGTTTTTGTTAAAAATCTACTATAAAAAAACGCAGCTTGGGGAGGGGCATCTCCCTCTCTGTGCTAAGGGCTGGGGAGGGGCAGCAGCGGCCGGCAGCAGCCGCAGGGTGAGCTAGTGGGCATCACTGCCGGGCGCTCTCGCCCACCATTTCCAGGTTGTGCTGCTGCAGCTGGGCTCGAAGCAGGGCGTTCTCATTCTTCAGCTCCTCGATCTGCAGGCACCAGAGGACACATGAGCCACAGGCAAGCCCTCGGCCTCCAGGGCCCAGTGGATTCCAGGTCCACACCCACCTGCTGCCTCAGGAGCTCATTGTCCATCTGCAGCCGCTCGGCCTCCTTGAAGGTCTCCTGCATTCGCTGGTTGGTCTGGCGTAGCTCCCGGATGTAGTCACAGGCCTTGGACAGGATGCCCCCTTTACTCTGGAGTGGGGAGCAGGCAAGAGTCAGAGGACAGGACAGCGCCTGTGCCGGGGGTCAGCCAGACTTCCGGAAGGGAGGGGACATGGGGACACTCACCGCTCCTGTCTTGCTGTTGTCTGCATGACAATCTGGAATGATTTTCGAAAGCTGGACGATCCAGTTGTTGATCTTGTCCCTCCGTCTCCGCTCCACTGTGGGACACAGGGACAGTCATGGCTTCATGGCACTAGTAAGGACCTCACAGGGACCCCTGGCTGCCACCTCCCCACCGGCAGCCCAACCAAGTCTCGATCCTCACGTGCCGCACGTCAGGGCAAAACCCACACTGACAACTGCAGGCCTGGTTCACTACCTGCCCAGCAACTCAGACACTGGAGCCAACACGGAAACACTAGTCAGCACATGCTGGCCGGCTGAAATGCAGCTCTCGGCACTGGGAACGTATCTTTTTTTTGGGGGGGGGGGCAGAACCCCTCTGTGCAGGCTCCAGCAACCCCACAGTTCCTACAGTCCTCCCATTTCACTCTCTGTCCCCGGGGACTCTGGCTTCTGTGATTTTGCTTTTCTCATCTTTTTTTGTCCCCTTGGGGATAGGGTCTCATGTAGGTCAGACTGGCCTCCACCTGTGTGGCCAAGGAGGACTTTAAACCCCTGGCCCTCTTGCCTCGATTTCCTAAGGAGCCGCCATGCCTGGTTTGGTTTTACTCACGGCTGAGACTGAAGCCCACACTCTACCAACTGAGCCACAGCCCAGCCCTTGCCATCTGAGAAAACCTGACTGTGCCTTGCCTGTTTAAAACTCCCCCACGGCCTTGGCAAGCTGCACTCTCCACACAAGCGGGGGCTCTGGCTTGGAGGCCTGGCCCTGGGGACCTCACCTTGCCTGGGAAGGTGAACCCCATACCCTGAAGGCAAAGGATGGCAAGTCATCCAGACTTGTGCTTTAATTAACTCCACTACCCGAGTGACAACCGCCCCGCAGACAGGGCCTCCCTCGGCCTGTCCTATGCTCAGGATGGCTGCCAGGAACCACCTGACTCGAACCAGTTCACAGCTAGTTGTAGCAAGGCTTCCCAGCCTTTCCTAACCTCCAGGGCACAGAAGACCCTGGTACCTCCAAGTCCCCTCCGAGCCCCCATCCACTTGTCAGGAGGGCTTGAGACACCTGTTGAATCTGTGGAGGGGAGCTGGGGCCTAGAGCCTGCTGGGCTGTGGGAAAAGGGGAAGGGGCATTTCCTAAGGAGGGCGGAAAGCAGGGAAAACTCTAAGTGACGGGGGTGGGTGAGGTGGGCTCCTTTCTCTTCAGACCTCAACTCACACCTTGCCCATGACATTCCCTTAGGGGACCTCAGGGCCCAGGAACAGTGGAGGCCACTGCCTTTGCTACTGTCAAGAGCCTCCCACTTGGGCATGAGTAACTTCATTTTCCAAAGCAGATCATCTCCCGCTCTGTCCACTCCCTCTCACAGCAACGATTCTTTCTGAGATCTTTCCAATGTCCTGCTGAGAACACAGCCACGCTAAGTTTGGTAAGGCTGGGTTATGGCTCCAGTAGGCTCAGGGCTGGCTCACTGTCACCACTCAGTTTGGTAGAATCTTCTGGAAACTTGGTGGCAGACTGCGGCAGCAAAGCCGAGTCTAGCCAGGGCTTAGAAGCACTACCTACCGAGTTCCTCGGCAGAGTGCTCATCTCCAGGGTTCACTTAGTACCTCCCCACCCTCCTACTGTCCATCTCCCCCAAGCCTTCGACTCCTTGACGGGCACACCTCAACCCATCAGGTAAGAGTACATGTGTGGCAGAGCTCCTTTGGGCTCCATTTAATTCTGCAGAATGTACAAGTGTGTGGCTTTAAACATGGATGGAGTCCAGGGTAGACTCAACCCTGGCTTTGTCCTGGTTGGTGCTCATGACACCACTGTGAAGTGACGTAAATGGGGAACACTGTGCCCACAGTAACTGTGCCCAAGGAAGGGCAAGGTGGAGCAATACTTTCTGCATGGAGCCCACAGTAGGATGAATCTCCAGAGAGACTTTAGGAAATATTTGGGTTTCTTTGAGGGACCCCAGGCAGATGGACAATAAGATCACACAAAGGATGACATAAACCACTTGTAGGTTTGTGTGTTGTTTTTACATAAGCTGTCTACAACTTGTGTCCAGGTGGTAACATGGTTAGGCCCGGGGCTTGGACAAACTATTAGGACACACTGGCCCAGCAGAAGGCCAGTTACCTCACAGAAGCCCTGTGGTTACAACACAGCACTTAAAAACATCTCACAGCCAGATGTGGTGGTGCACGCTTAATCCCAGCACTCAGGAGACAGAGGCAGGACAGAACTCTGTGAGTTTGAGGCCAGTCTGGTTTACATAGTGAGTTCTAGAATAGCCAAAGCTACATAGGAAGATCTTGTTTCAAAAAGCAAAATCATCAAACCCCACCCCTCACAGCACAACCTGTCAGGACAAAGGAAGAGCGGACAAACAGTGGGAGACATCAGCACGCCTCTCTCCAAGGAAAGCAAGAAAAAGGCCGGCCAGGCGGCAGCCCCCAGCCATCTCAGCCAACCCGGGCTCCCTATGGAGGGGACCTTTCAGAGCAGCAGGCACCTTCTCCAAGCTAGACTGTACACAGAGCCCAAGGTAAGCTCCACACCCTCAAATAACTGGAACCACACCAGCTACGCTCCGACTACAAAGAACTGAGAAATTCAACAAATCCTAAGCCCCACACATGTCTGGAAATTGGGCAACATGCTTCCTGAATTTCCTGGGGTCAAAGAAGAAATCACAGGAGATCTGGAAAACATTTGAGAAAATAAAGACATTTGTCGAAATGGGACAGTCAGACAGAAGTCTGCAGCCACAGATTTACATCAGAAAAAGGTTTGTTTGTTCCTTCTTCCTGTGAGACAGGTTCGTACTGTGTGTCCAGGCTGGCCTCAGCCTCACAATTCTGCCTCAGCCTCACCAGCTGGGATTACAAAACGGAGCCATATCCAGCTTTAAAAAGCAAAGATTTGGGAATTCCTGCTACTAGGGAATAGGAAGCAGGAGGCTTCCCAGTTCAAAGCCAGCCTGGGCAAATTAGTCAGACTGTCTCAAAAAGATTTTTAAAAAGTGAAAAGGCTGGGGATCTAGTTACAAGAGAGCACTTTCCAGCACACTCTAGGCTCTAGGTTCTACCCCAGTATCAAACAAGGAACTCTCCCTAAGACCACTACCATAAATTAAGACCCCAAGTAGAAAAACTCTCTTACAAACAGTAAAAATTAATAAAGAGAAAAAGCAACCCGGCTCAGCATTCCAAGTCACGTTTTATGTAAAGGCCTGCATTTCTGCAGCCACCGTTAACAACAGGCTCCCCACCTAGCCCTGGGTGCAGGACTGCTGCTGCTCACTCAGGCCCTGCAGGCACCTTCCGGAGCTCTCCAACCCCCACCCCGCCAGAAAAGCCAGAGGGAGAAAAGAAAGAGACGACAGGGAACCTCAGGCGAGCAGAGTCCTGGGAGGGCAAGGGTAGACCTCTGAAGCTGTCCTGTCTTACTTCTGGCGGAGAGGCATACACAGAGCCTCTCGGGAGGGTAGACAGCATGTGCTGTATGGACAAGTTGGGTTAAGTCTCACAGACATCGGACATGGAGATTTTGAGTGGCAATCAATCTCCAATGCCCAAGGAATAGAAACTCCATTCTGTGATGCCATGGGGTGGGCCAAGCCCTAGGAGGGTGGCAAGAGGCAACTATCACCTTTCTGGAGAAAAAGAAGTGGGACTTCGGGTGCTGGGGATGAGTCCCAGGGGCGGGACAACTAGCGCGTCCATGCACCTCTGGCCGGTGCTTACTAGTAGATGGAAAAGGGACTCAGATCCCGGCCTTAAGAACACCCACAGCCAAAGCCGGTTCCCAGTTCTTTGAGGGCATCTGCTGTGAAGACAGCCCTGTTAGTCAGAACCCCCAAGGCTCAGTCTGAAGAGCAGGCAGTTACCTGGTTGTTACAGGAATGGGTGGAGAGGGAGAAACAAAGAGGACATTAGAATCAGAGAGAGCAGGAAAAGAAGGGACATTCCCCAAAGCAGCGGGGGGTAGAGGTGGGGTTAACAGGCAGGGGCAGATGCTTGGAGCTCAGACAGAAAAGGAAGCCAGCCGATTTGGCAACAAGGTCGTCACAGGTGACCTTCAATGGAGCCAGTCTGGTAGGCCAGACTGCCAAGCCACAAGGAAGACAGGCAGATGGTGGTTCAAACCTTCTACAGGTTAGGAGCCAGAGGGCTGGCTGTAGCTGGTGGGGGGTGGGTCGGGGAAACTGCTTGTCTGAGGATGAAAAACAACGAAGGCTCCAAGCTGGATGAACCCAGGGTAAGGCGCATACTCAGCGGGAGGCTGGAGTTAGGGGTGGGGGGTTAGGACCACTGAAGGGGTCATTGTGTTAGTCATTTTCCACAGGACAACACAGGTGCAAAGATCGAAAACCCAGCCTGAGTTAGAGAGAGGAGCTGTAACAGCCTGAGTAACCCACCAGAGGATCCTCAAATTCCCCTGCACCAAACCAACCTCAAGCTCCAGGTCACCCTTTCCCTTCAAAGCCACCCTGACCCAGCAGATCCAGAATCTTCTCCTTATGCCCATTCTCCACATCTTGCCACCTCAGACCAGGCCTCCCCTCTCCCAGAAGTCAACTCTAGCATGTGACTTCTTAGTCATTGGCTTCCCATCATCTTATCATGCTTCCACACACAGACCCCACACTGGTGTCGCCATCACAAGACTATACTCCCAGGTCAGGATAACCACTCTGGGAAGAGATTCTAGAGAGCCGGTGTGAGCCAGCCTGGCAGGTCCCCTCCCAGCCCTAAGACCTTCCTCTTCCCTCCCCATTCTGCTCTTCCTCAGACTTAAAAGTGTCTGTGGCTGAGGAGGCCTAGGCATTCGTCTGTTTCTCCTCAGACCCTGGAGAGGCCTCTTCAAAGGTCATGTCTTCGCCTCTGCTGCACTCTCTCGGCCTTCTCTCTTCCAGTGCCCAGGAGTGCTGTGGGCACATGGGAACTGTGTGCGGCTTGTGTCCTACCAGTGAGCAGTGTGAGAGCCCAGACCTTGTCTCTGCCAGTCTCTGCACTTGAGGCCTGGCTGGGGGCTGGCATGGGTGTGTGCTTGCTGGCCAAAAGCTTGCCGGCTGCGTAGAACAGCGGCCCCCGGCCCCCGTTCACATCAAAGCACCCTCAAGTCTCAGGGCCTGAGGTCTCCATCCTGGTTCATTTTCAAAGAAACCACACAGGACCTCAGTGACAAGCAACAGCACCCAAGCCCCTGACACAACTCAACTCTGCTTGCCAAGCACCCAGAAAACCCTTCCTGGGGCAACCTCATCTCAGTGCCTGAGCTACCTCGGCCACAAGCTGTCCTTCGTTAGCAATTCTGACTGCCCCTCTAGGCCAGGCTGTGGGCTTGACACAGGGCCTGGGCCGCCCTGCCCTGCCCGGGATCCAGGGTCAGTAAATATTTGTTGAGTGATAGCTGTCTGGGTGTCAAAACTGCCCTGCTTTGAGGACTGCTCTATGCTTTACGATGGTGGAGACCGAGGAACAGCACCAACAGACAGACACGGCGGGGTGGAACAGCAGCTTCCGGGAGGGCGGGAGGCTCTGGCTTTAGCTGGCCAGAGGCTGCCCAGCTACCCATGGAGGGCAAGGAACAAGTGAACGAGAAGGGCCAAACCCACATGCGGATATGGGGCCTGCCATTTTAAGAGGATGGCCCACAGAACCAATCAAAACCACAGGCTGGGCGTGAGAAAACATCTGGCCAAACCCAATTCCCGCCCTCTACCTTTCCTAACAGCTTCCTGCCCTTCACCTGTCAGCCCTTCCCTACGCATTCAGCACACACCTTCCCACATCTGGGCATGCCGGGGAATGGGCTCAAAGCACCCAGAAGGCCAAGAGCTGGCCAAGGAACGCACCACCACCCTCACCTTCATTGTGCTGAGCTCGTCTTCTCTCATCTCGAGGAGTTCTGGTTCCATCGATTTTTCTAGAACAGAAGGGGAAATAACAGATACTTATTATTTCAGGCCCATCTCTTTAAGTATTTACCAAGCTATCAGACTTGACACACACCTTTGTTTTTATGGCACTAAGGACCGAACCCAGGGCTTTGAAAAATGCTAGGCAAGTGCTCTACCACTGAGTTACCTCTCCAGCCCTTGACAATTATTTTTGCAAAGTAAATCCGCGGGAAAAGACAGGGAATGGAACTTTCAGGCTAACGAAACCCACACCCCACTCCTGCTGGGTACACTGACAGCCCCAGCTGCTAGGCCAAAAACCCCTCCCTTTTCTCGGCCCCCAATAATGAGACTACAGCACATACGGAGAATAGGGGTGTGTCCGGGGTGCGATCGTCCTCTGTGTTCCTGTCTGGAGCACGTCCTGGGGTGTCATCATGACATAGAACTGGCCTGCAGGCAATGTGCAGTGAGCATCGGTAAGGGGCCAAGGTGGAGGTGCTGGGTGACTCCCTCGCTCTACCCTTCCTCCCCTTACCTCCGGCCTGCAGGCTCTGGTCTGTGGTCTGCACAGACACAGCCGTGGTGTCTCCCACACTGGATGCTGGGAAATATGCAAACCGTGCCTCCCCGCTGACAGCTTCTGCCGCTGGGCTGCCACCATTGCTGAATGGGTTTTGAATGACAGCCTAGGGAAGAGGACACAGGCCATCCTCAGCCACCCGTCAGCCCACCTTTGCTGTTGGGGGTCGGTGCTTATTTACTATGTCGTGAGGCGGGGGGTGGGGTGGGGAGCCCGCTGTGCGCTGTGCGTACCCTTCCGTCTAATATTTCACCTCTGACAACACTCAACTGTCACTAGCTCAGCGACTCTACTTTTTGTCTCTAAGAAGTTTCTCCCGTTTTATATAGAAAAAATAATAATCTCAAGCGACCCGTCCAATGCCTGTGCTTTAAAACATCAACCTTCCACGGCTCGCCGGGCCAGCGAACACCGTTTGCGGGTGACATGCCCCACCCCCGGGGACTCCCCCCTCCCCGCCCCCTCCCCAGACGCTGCGGGCCACCTACCAGCGGGAAGGGTGCCGCGGGACCTGGGGGTACAGAGGCAGCGGCCGGGCCGGGGCGCTGGGCGGCCCCGTCCACACCCACCTGGGTCACAGCCTGCTGCCCCCCCGCGAAGGCAGCGGTGGACACGACGCTGACGGCGCCAGCCGCGTCGCCCTGGCCGTCCAGCTGACCGTCAGTCACCTGGACTACGCGGTATGTCACCTGCAGGGGGCGGCAGAGCGACGAGAGCGACGCTGGGGCCGGGGAAGGGCCAGGTCGGAGCCTCTCCCGGCCCCGCCGCCGCGCGCGTCCGCCCTCCCTGCGC